TGAATCCATGCTTAGAAAATTACTGGAACGTATGCTTTACCTTCCAAAAGAAAACACAAACTCATGTGGTGCCGAAAACAGAGGATCAACACAGAAAAGAGGCAGAGAAAATATTTAGGATGGTGGTGGAGGTGGAGTTCAGAGAACAGGAGCTGTGCACCAGACCCAGAGGGCAGCATGCCCAGACTTCAGCAGGTCAGAAAGTTCCAAGAAGGATTTCATCAAATACATGAACACAGCACTTGGATATTTAATAGATATTTGAGGCTTGATCAATAATAGATAAGTATGTGTAAAACTAAATAAAAAAAGGTAGCAAGACATTTAACCACTCCTTCCTGGAAGGAAAAACAATTACAGTATATCTTAAGTGTCATCACCTGTGGTTAGTGATTACATAGTCATAAGAATGTAAATCCTAAATACCGATCTAACTAAAAGTATGATATATCCATTAGAACAGACTGGCTGTAGAGGAAGAGAGAGCGAGAGAGAAAGAATTAGGGATAATGAGGCACTATAAAGGCAAGCTTCACCCTCTTTCATGTCAATAGTTAATACTTAAAACCACAAGAATAATAGGTTGCAAAATAAGAATTTTAACTAGTTGGAAGTGGTTACCTGCAGCACTAGGAAGAACAAGAGTGGTAGAGGACCAGCGTAGGCCACAAGCAAACCTTGTACAATCATTTGGACATTTCAATCATGAGCATGAGTAAACAAGATGAAAACATTGGGATTCAGAAAGATTAAGTAACTTTCTCAAAGACTCTGATTTAGTCAGTGATGGATTCAGGAATCAAACATGGAACCATCTGGCACCAACATCCTTGTTCTTTCCATTATAAATGCACAGTCCTCAGTAAAACAGCCTTACAGAAGTCTTGGGGTAGGTCTGTAATGAATGGACTTCAAGTGTTTGGCAAGGAAAAGAAACGTATCCCTAGCTTGGGGAACAATGGAATGTGTGCCGAGGAAAGCTAAGCACAACTGGTCTGATCGTCAGGAGGTCATATTATAAAAACTGGTGACTGGTATTTGTTAGCACCCATGTAGAGACAGCATTCATTCCAAGGACTTTCCTCATTAATATCAGGTGTAGAGAGCCATTATGCTACTTTATTTATAAAATCAGATTTTTCTGACAGTGTGACAAACACGAATCCATCTGGACAACTCCTGTGTCATAAGAATGCATGTTTAAATTACCTACGACAAGAAGAAAAGTAAATACAGAATAAGAGCTCTTGCCAAAGCAAATTTTTATAACAGAAACATCAATCTCTGCTTGCACAGTCAAGAAACTGTCTGCTTTGCTAGGGTACAGGCATGGATAGAGGTCTCTTTTGCCAAAGCAAGCCCGTTTCCGTGCAGTAGATCCATCTTTCAAATGAAACCACAAATAAAAAGAAACACTTTTGTCTTCTTCTGCAGAAATTCTACTCTTAACAGTAATCTCAAATAGTTCAGAAAAAGAATTGATCAAATTTTGATCAAAATATTCTTGTCAGGTTTATCTTGAGGTTTTTGGAATAATAAAACTATTTGAGTTCTTTCCAATAAACACTTGTAGTCTAAGAACTCTTTAAAAGGCTATTTCCCAAGTCTCTTTGACCTTCTTTGGACTCTGTGACATCATCTTCATGAAGATGAATATTGCTTAATTGTGGGCTTAGCCTATATTGTTTTTGGAGAATATTCTCTATGGACATACATTATGAAAACTCTACTTATATTTGCTTATATAATTATAACATAAAGCGTTCAGCTGTTAACATAGTGGTGTTGAAGCAAATTGCATGGATGGGAAAGAACTGCAGATGTCCTACTAATTATTCTAGGTACTATTATAATAAAAATCTAATGACTTGGATAGTTAGGTTAGTAAAACACTAAGGAAAAGCATTTTACTTTCAAAAGGAGTTAGCTTGAAGTTATATTACACTTTTGTGCAATACTGTGATAATCTAACAAAGACTCTGTCTTATATTCTCAGATCCTAACTTGGCATGCTGAATGAAAATGTATTATTCCAAGTTTTTGCCTATGGCCAAGTTTTCAAGAAGGCAGTTATGATTCCAGGTATTTGAGCAGTTTACACATTAGGCAGAATAGGTGAGCTGCTACCTAGGTTTGAAATAGAAATCTCAAATGGAAAAGAAAATGAGATGCTCTGTCTCTCTCAAGGTATATGAAGAATCATAATTTATCCTAAAATACCTACATGATAGAAGCATACTTATAAATTATCTGTTTCTAATAAAGGCTTCCTAAGCATGAGCTTCTGCTCTTCTACAAAAATATGTGTGCCTTAAGAGACCTTTTGCAGCCCTGTAGCAGAACTGGGTCAAGAACTCACACCCTCCCTTTTGATATTTCAGGTACCAGTACAAATAAGTCAAAGATGATGGTTAGAGTCTTGCATTCGTGTCTCCAGGCTAATAAAATTGTCTCTGACTCATGCAGAGATGTTCAGGACTAAATTTTTAATTTTCCACACCCATATGTACATAATTCTCATTGGATTCTCCTGAGATTATATTAGGCTCTTTGAGATGACAAAGAACAGAGCTACAACAAGCTTATACTGACCGATGGGAGTTCTTATAAGAAAACACCCAGAAGTAGGTAAACAAAGAAAACCCTCAGCAACAGTCAGATGGATCTCTGCTTCTCTGCTTCTCTTCAAGTTCCGGGGCATTCTTCTGTCTGGTTAATATGTTTCAAAATTCTTTGAAAGAAACCATCCAGTTGGGTCAATTAGACAGACCTTCATGAAGAACATCCCTAAAAGACAGAGTTCTCCACCCAGGCCACCTCCTAGATCACCAAATTCCCAGCTGACCAGCCTGCAGTTGGCTGCCATTGGCAATCCGTAAGAAAGAACAACCAAGTAGAGGCTTTGCTGAAAAGGGGCCGTGGATGTTCAGATACTCAGCGACATGGAGTCCAAAGCACTTTAAAGCCAGGTGTTGTTTTCAGACTACCTGAATTAAAACTACTATGTCCAAGCCCACAAAGCATGTGGAAATTACTTGATCTTCCTAAGCCTCAGTTTCCTTATCTGTAAAATAAGTAGAATAGTAGTACTTACAGCAGGCTACAGATTAATGAGCACAGATTAAATGAGACAATCCATATAAAGATCCCAAGAGATCAAATAATATATATTTGCTTAGAAATAATAATTGCTTAGATAATATATATGATAGATTAGAGAAAAACATTGAATCATGCATACTGTTAATCATTAGAAAATTCATTTGTATACCACTAAAAATCTCAAGGCCACAAGTGGTACACATGTATATTTGGTTAAACACTACATGTGACAACCTTGAAACCCTGCCATAAATTATTTTATAAAGTGAAACTATTGTGCTGTCTGAGGATGTTACTATTATTCAGTTCTGTATGGAAATTTTACATATTGGATTTGCTGAAAATAGGGGTGTACTGTAAGTCTAGATGATACATGGATTTATAAACAAATTTTTTTCAAGTAACATAAAACAAATATAGCTAAGGTATGCTCATATCTCAACATACAAAGTCATATTTACAGGCATGATTATTGTTTAAGGACTCTTTCCTTCGAGGGAACAGAAAAAAACAATGAGCAATGAGGCCTTTTATAGTGAGCCCAGGTGCCCACAAGACAGGCTGTTCAGCCTCTGCTGTCACACAGCTTGACAGGTGTAAATAAGCATCAGAAGGGATAAATGTGGACCTTGATTGCAGCCTGACCTAGGCATAAATTCTTACCTACTAGGTATGTGACCTTAGACAAATTTGCCAAACTTTTGGAGTCTCAATCCCTTAGGACCAAATAAATCATATTCTCTGAGCTGAGGCACAGGCACCATATTTTTAAACTCCCAGATGGTTCTGAGGCTAAGTTGAAAAGCCCTGCTCTATCTAAAGCTAGTGGTTCTCAAATTACAGCACGCATAACAGCCGGCTGGGCCCCACCTCCAGAGTTCCTGATTCTGCAGACCTGGGGTGGGGCATGATATTTGCATTTCTGACAAGTTCCATGTGACGCTAGCTGCTTAAGTCCAGGGTCTACACTTTGAGAACTGCCTCTGTATAAACTCATCAGATTCCTGCTTGGTCCCTTGGCGTGGTTTCTAGTCTAAGAAACCACGAGTCTAAGAATTCAAGTCTAAGAATGCCCAGCAACACACTGCCTCAAGTCATCAAAACCCTTCCTCTCCTCATCTCCCATCCCACCAGCCCTGACTAATGTTCCCTGTCTTCACTCATTAGATACCATTTATAATTATTGTTAGCAAAGCTCCAAAACCAGGATGTTCCATAGTATTTGTTTTTAACTGTTATTCTTCCAATCTCTAAATTGCCCCAGAGGCAAAAAACATACTCTTTTCTTTTTTGTATTCCTGGCTTTAAGCAAAATGGCTACACATAATAGAGACATAACAAATGTTTTGTTGAATGCAAATAGCCCATAAGCCAAAAATACTCTCTAACACCTAGTGACCCATTTCTCTAAAAAAGATCAAGTTGAATTAATGATGTGATCCTCATCAGGACTTATCAGGACCCTTCTGTTCTTTTAAGAAACATAAGCATGTGCTGCTTGGTAAGAAAAGCCATGTGTTTTTATAGCCTCATTCTTGTTAACATCTTTTCACACCTCTGTTCCTGAGTCTGACCATACTCCCCTCCAGCAGCCTACACATGCTAACCTTGCTGCCCACACACCCCTACCACTTGCTGCACTGTGACAAAAATATACCTCATTTTCCAAACAGGGGTGTCTTACTTTTTTAAACAATATTAAACAAAAATAGAAACATCAAGGTGAAGGTTGTCCCTGTTGAGAGCTGCAGCGCAGGTAAAAGAATGGGAAGCATAACAGAAGATTGTGAAGTGCCTCCCCCCCACCAAGTTCCACGGGTGCCTTAGGCCCAGTGCCTGTGGAGCATACCTGTGTCACGCTTTAACCACAGGGCCTGTTTATAGTTTGTTATTCATTAAACAGCTAACTCTTTCCCAGGAGCCAAAAGCTGCCTCTCTTTGCCGTGGTAGGAGCCCCGAGCCCTGCCGCTGCTTCGCCGTCCCTTCAGCCGACCTTACTGCAAGCAAGCCCGGAGCCAAAGCGCTGAAGGCCGCGCAGAGGGAGCCGGGAGAAGATCTTGACACCACCTGCGCCGAAGGTGAGCGCTGGGAAACGGTCTGCCCTAGACGGGTATCTTGGCCATTGGGTTCCAAAGGTCTGTTGGCAGAAGACTGCTTGGCGTTTTATTTTGTTGCTGTTTTGGTTTGTTTTTCTGTCGTTCTTTTTTCTTTTTTCTTTTTTTTTTTTATGATGGTGGTGGTTAGGCAGGATGAAAGGCCTGAGTTGGCTGGTGGAAAATGCTGGTATCTTTCACTACAGAACTCAAGAAATTCAGAAAAATGTCAGAAAGGAGAAAGTGTCTGAAACGAAGTGCTAAGAAAACCACCACCAAAAACCCTGTGAGGCATGGTAACTACACCTATCGTGATGAGCATTTAGCAGTGTTTGTAATTATGAGATCGCTAAGTGGCACAGCGGAAACCGGTATAACATTGTTCATCAACTATACTGCAAATTTTTAAAACGTGTTAGCATAGTGGTCTGGCCTTAAGAATTAAGAAGAGTCCTACTTCCTTTTAAATTTAAGGAAAAAAGATGAGTTTGCCTATTTAATGAAACTGAAACCCTGCATGTTAAAATTTCCTGGAAGAGTTATACATTCATAATTTTTTAAACAGTTTTTAATCATCTTCTTAACAAGTTATATCACTGAATCCCTAGCCATGTTCCCCTAAACCTAGTGATCTCCCCCAGCTGTAGCCTCAGGCACATGACAGATATTTTTCTGCCTGCCTACTGGGTTTAAAACTCTATAGTGATTAAACACACACACACACACACACACACACACACACTCACTCACTCACTCACTCACTCACTCACTCACTCACTCACTCACTCACTGGGTTCAGGCTTTGTCCTCCCACTGCTTTCAGGCTCCAGAGGGCCTGATTTTAAAAATACGGCCTCCTATACTGACAGGATAGCAGAGATGCTAAAAGACAGTTCCTGTGGGGTGAGTACCTGCTATTCCACAAAGGAGCATACCGGATTCCTCACCACCATATGATCTCCTTTGAAAGGAAGTCACTAACATCAGCGAAACCAGTAAGAGCAAAAAACTTAAATTATTACTTTAGAGTCATAAGGAAATAAGTTTAAAAGTCTATCCATGTATGTTTTATTTTCATAATATGGATCAAGATAAGACATTGGAGAATTAATTAAGAATTTTTTAAGAATACACTATCCAGACTTCATTACTGTGTAGAAAAAAGGAGTAATGTTCCATTTTCACATAAAATAATCACTGATCATCACAAATCTGCATCACCAAAAAAAGTTTCCATAAAAGCAATTTTCTGCTCATCAGAAATCATCTGCCACGTGTTGTCCTCTTAAAGCCATTTAATTCGCCTTTCCATTCACCTCAGAAAACGGGTTCAGCACCTTTCTGTTTCATTTTCAGGGAACCTACATGCCTAACCTTGATTATCAAGCTACACCTTGAGTCCAGAAAAAAATGTTTAATGTAACCAAAAAACTTAGTTTATGATAATCTAGCACAGTGCATGTTGAAATATATAATACTGTACATAGCAAGTAGTTAGGGGTGGTTTTATCAAAACAGAGCAAAAATTTTCCCCTTGTTATTTTGGGATATTTCAAAAACATGCCTCTGAGCTCTAGTGCAGGGCTTGATTAATGCATGATTTCCTCTTTAAAATTAGAAACAGGAATCAAGAATGAAGCTTAATAATTTTCATTTGCTCTTCTTTCCCAAGTATTCTAATTAAGGCCTGGCTCCCAGACCTGATTAAGCAGCCCCCGCATCTGACTCCAGTCTGCAGTCATCCCCGCAAGGCAGGAACTCAAGCTTATTTTGAGTGAATGGGAACAATCTGGAAGGAACAATGAGGTAGGACACACTGTGAGGGGGGGTTAGATGGTTTTGGTTTTGCTCTTATAATTTGCCCTGTCCATTGTAGAGCGCAACAACACAATTTAATAACAAATGCCAAAAACATCATTCTAGGGGAAACACCATTGGTCTGACTTTTAGAGTACTCGATCAGGAATATCCCAGTTTCCATTGCCTTACTCTTTGATTTTCTCGAGCTAAATGTTACAAAAGCAACATGTACTTTATATTTTATATTAAGCAACCATAAACATGTATGTGCTATTACTAACCAATGCCCTTAATCTCTTGGATTCAGTGAAATCATAAAATGAATTGGAAGTGTTTTTTTGATGGCTGTCATGGAGAAAAATATGAAGGAAAAAAACTGGAATTGTCAACCATGAGTTTTCTCAAAACTATTTCTCTATTTGAAGACAACAGTCCTGAATTATTTCAGGACATTCATTCTTAAAATATTGAAAAGTTGCACTGTAATATAGTTCGGTGCTCATTAAATGTTTCTGGCCAGTATTAAGAAAATAGATACTTAGGGTGTCCTTCGTACAAAGGAGTAAGTCAAAATATCTCTTATGCAAATTACATAATTACAAATGGGTAAGGTCAATTTCTTGGAAGCTATATAGATGCCCTCCCTGCCCTCACTTTTTTAAATACATATTTCAGCTACCATGGTAATGCCAGACCCAGGGGATATCGTATATTTAATTGAGGTACAAACCTGAAAGACAGCTACACCTCGCTCACTTATCCATCCTCAGTCCTTCACCATTGTGCTTATGCCCCCTGCGTTCTACCTCCCTAACTCCTACCGCAGAGAATACTTTCATCTTGCTACAGTAATGCGAACCCATCCCAACCAGTCACTTAAATAGTTCACTAAGTAAACTAATTCAAAGTGTCTCACAGAGTCCCTCCCCTGCCATCCCCTTTGTCAAAAGCCCATATCAGACCAATATCCCTTTCTTCAGTATTGAGCAATATTTTCCTAGTTGTCCTCAGTGTTTCCATTCTTTCTCATCCTGACCACATGCAAATTGGAGTCACATTTGTTCTCCCTTCAACACCATTTGCCTTGTTCTCCAGTTTAAAAATCTCAGCCAGACCCAAACCAATCAGCAGGGACTTTAAATCCTGCATGCCCTCTGAGCCCTTCTTCCACAGGGGCCTGCAATATTTGCTTATCCAAATCCCAGGACTATTTGAGTCACTCGTGGATCTTATCAAAATATCAATTTCAATTCACTAAGTCTGAAGTGAAGAGAAAGATCTGCTGTGATGTTGTTCATGGTGGAATGGACTACATTTTGAAAAACAAAGATTTAAACAACTATTCTCTTTTATTGGGGAAACACTGGTCTCTATCAAGGGCTTAATGGAAGGGTAAGAATAAAGAGCTATATACAATAAAATATTCCATACCTGACTGAACTAAGGACTAGACAAACTTTGAGTTCTCATCAAAAGTTATAGAGTAGTGCATGATTGGTTGATACTGTGTACATATAAACCATAGATATATTTATAGTATGATGAAAGGAAGGAAGGGAGGGTGAGGGAGGGAGAGAGAAGGAAAGGGGAAGGGAAGGGGTAGGAAAAGGGATGGGAAGGAGAAGGGAAGGGAGGGGAAAGGAAAGGAAAGGAAAGGAGAAGGGAAAGAAAAAGGAAAAGAAAGGAAGAAGGGAGGCAGGGAGGGAAAAAGCAAGATTGGAAGGAAAACAGCAATTCCAATATAACAATTATTATTGAGACTTATGAAACAATTGTGCAAAGTGTTTACAAGCTACAGAAAACTCAAATACTAACACAAATAACATGACCAGACTTTGTCTGAATACTGTACTTCTGTCCTCCAGTCCTGTGCATCATGCATTTATTTGCTTTTGCTCAGCCACAGCCCTCCTACCTTCAGTGATCCATGAGCTGGATTCTCTCCATCTGTTCCACTACCCGGAGTCCAGCGCCCTGCAGGGAATGGTACTTCTTGCCTCTTTAATCTCTGTACCACTGGGAGAAGTAAAGTAATGTACTTCAAAAAATCCTGCTGGGCTGCTGTTACAGGGTTTATATACTTTTATTTAAAGCACTCTCTTATTTTAAGAAGGCCATGATTTCTACTTTGTTTCTTATGTGTTACAGTGACAGGATCAAAACCCAGTAGAACAGTCGTTGAAGTGGACCTGGTAACAGCTCTTAATCACACTGGCTAGAAAAGAGGTGGGAAGTAGAACTAATCAAATTTGCACATTGCTTCAAATACAAAATTACTAAATATATAGCTCCAGTGTTTTTATTGAGGTCATATTTATGATGAAAGCTTGAATCCTCTGAACTCAGAGGATTCTGAGTGCATAGGAAAAATTTGAATCTGAACTCAGAAGATTTGGAGAGGAGAGGAGAAATTTGCCAGTACTGAATTTTAGTCCCAACCGGTAAGGTCCTAATCCCTGAAACTTTTGTTTGATCTCCAGAACTACCCCTGGCATCCTTTCCAAACTTAAAAGACAATGACTGCCTTATTTTGGCTAATCTAGTTTGAATCAAAAAGATATGATCAATTCACTACATCCATATAGGATATATTTGATCAATTGTGGCTTTTTTTTAGGGGGAAAGGGAGAAGTTCTTTACTGAATTGTTATTTTATCACCTGCTCCAAGCACTTGTGTGTTTGGGTAGCCATTCTCTATAGTGTTTCTCCATAGGATAACAAGTACCCAATTTTATGAATATATTATGTTCCCGTTGAGAAAAATAAAACTGGAATATCTTCAAAACATGTAACAAAGATATAATTTTTTATTCACTCTTCCATATTGAATCCTAAAGTCAAGAGAAGAAAAGATATCTTCCTTGTCCTTTCCCAGATACTCTAAGTGCCAATAAGATGTTGCCTGTGTGGGAGAATAGTCGACAAGTCAATATACTTGTGAGCCAAAAAACACACACTGATAACGTCCTACCCAGAATTTCACAGAGCCCAACAAATTTATCCTAAAGACAACCGGGGAAATAAACTTGCCAATTTTTCTGAGTCTTCCTAATGAAACTTAAAAGTAAATGAGAATTCCCAAAATTACTACTTGTGAAGTGGCTGAAAAATTTAAGACTTTCCTTTCTGAAGAAGGTCATCTAACATAGAGTCTGGGAGCAAAATCAGACTTCATAAATAAATAGGAGAGAAGCAGTAAGAGTGGTGGGATCCTGAGCCCAAGAAATTGATGCCATAATTCATCTGGATCTAAGTAGTGAAGCCCTAGTTGGAACAGAAAGTTTTCTCTATGGAGAAAGTTTTTTTCAAAGAAAGCACTGTAGTTGACCTTAAAACATGTCTCCGAAATCTGAATCAGTTTATTGCTATCTCATTCTTCCTTGAGAAGCACAGGCTGCTAAATTAAAATAATCATCTTCCCACGGCAGCTCTCTTCCCAACAATTCTACAAATGAGCCATTTTCAACAAACGGAGTCTTGTCCTCCCTTCTCAATCCTCATTCTCCCCTAGAGAAACTCTTCAATAAATTGGTCACGGAGAGGAGAGTTGAGGCAGCGGGCACACACGTCACAGTGTCTGTCCTCAGAGCGGAGCCCACTCTCATCACAGCCCCCAAGGCTGCACTGCAGCCTGCAAGCACGCCGGCTTCTCTCTGTGCCCCCCACTGCCGTTCTCCATCACACCATCCAGCTACCTCCTCAAGTACACCATATTCCTGCCTGCTGGAGTTCTCCCTGGCTGTGGTGAGAAGAATACTGAATTTTAGTCCCAACCGGTAAGGTCCTAATCCCTGAAACTTTTGTTTGATCTCCAGAACTACCCCTGGCATCCTTTCCAAACTTAAAAGACAATGACTGCCTTATTTTGGCTAATCTAGTTTGAATCAAAAAGATATGATCAATTCACTACATCCATATAGGATATATTTGATCAATTGTGGCTTTTTTTTAGGGGGAAAGGGAGAAGTTCTTTACTGAATTGTTATTTTATCACCTGCTCCAAGCACTTGTGTGTTTGGGTAGCCATTCTCTATAGTGTTTCTCCATAGGATAACAAGTACCCAATTTTATGAATATATTATGTTCCCGTTGAGAAAAATAAAACTGGAATATCTTCAAAACATGTAACAAAGATATAATTTTTTATTCACTCTTCCATATTGAATCCTAAAGTCAAGAGAAGAAAAGATATCTTCCTTGTCCTTTCCCAGATACTCTAAGTGCCAATAAGATGTTGCCTGTGTGGGAGAATAGTCGACAAGTCAATATACTTGTGAGCCAAAAAACACACACTGATAACGTCCTACCCAGAATTTCACAGAGCCCAACAAATTTATCCTAAAGACAACCGGGGAAATAAACTTGCCAATTTTTCTGAGTCTTCCTAATGAAACTTAAAAGTAAATGAGAATTCCCAAAATTACTACTTGTGAAGTGGCTGAAAAATTTAAGACTTTCCTTTCTGAAGAAGGTCATCTAACATAGAGTCTGGGAGCAAAATCAGACTTCATAAATAAATAGGAGAGAAGCAGTAAGAGTGGTGGGATCCTGAGCCCAAGAAATTGATGCCATAATTCATCTGGATCTAAGTAGTGAAGCCCTAGTTGGAACAGAAAGTTTTCTCTATGGAGAAAGTTTTTTTCAAAGAAAGCACTGTAGTTGACCTTAAAACATGTCTCCGAAATCTGAATCAGTTTATTGCTATCTCATTCTTCCTTGAGAAGCACAGGCTGCTAAATTAAAATAATCATCTTCCCACGGCAGCTCTCTTCCCAACAATTCTACAAATGAGCCATTTTCAACAAACGGAGTCTTGTCCTCCCTTCTCAATCCTCATTCTCCCCTAGAGAAACTCTTCAATAAATTGGTCACGGAGAGGAGAGTTGAGGCAGCGGGCACACACGTCACAGTGTCTGTCCTCAGAGCGGAGCCCACTCTCATCACAGCCCCCAAGGCTGCACTGCAGCCTGCAAGCACGCCGGCTTCTCTCTGTGCCCCCCACTGCCGTTCTCCATCACACCATCCAGCTACCTCCTCAAGTACACCATATTCCTGCCTGCTGGAGTTCTCCCTGGCTGTGGTGAGAAGAACTTTCTAAAATCCTTTTGGGGGTCCCTCAAAAGAAGACAGTAAAAGACTGTTCTAATGTTTGACAAAAGACTCTCTCCTCCATGATGCTGCAGATTTATTCTTGAACTTCAGTTCAGAGAACAAGCATCATGTAATCCTTTAGTGTGTGGACCCTTTGCCTGTACCAGTTAGTAGCTGTAAGGCCTTAATATTTCTATGCCTCAGTTTTCTCACATGTAAAATGGAGAAAGCAATAATATCTCCAGCATGTAGTTATTTAGGATGACAGTGAACTAAAGTCATATATGTAGAGTTAAAACACTGCCTGTCACATAAGAAGTGATATATATATATGTCCTCTTATTATTGCCTCCTGAACTTTCTCCTTTCGTTTTCCCTCTACTTTGAAAGGCTTCTTGGTTCACTCCTTTTACGCAGATACCAACAGAAGGTAAAATTCTTTAGGCAGTTTACCTTTTTCACACAACAACAATAGAAGTTAAAATACTTAGCTTGTCACCTCAATGGAATTTGCTGTTTAACAGTTTAATGCCACTTTGAGAATTTGTGTTATTTAGAAATAAGTAAATAAAACTTGGCATATTAAAAACTTTGTCTTATCACAGATTTCAGTCCAGATTTCAAAGCAAAGCTATAGGAGTTATTTCATGTTGATACAATTAATGTCATGTCAAAGCTAGCTGAATTTTTCTGAGTAAAATGAGAGGAAGGAGAGAGAGAAGGGGGAGAGAAAGCAGAAAGGAAGAAGGGAGGGAGGGAGAGAGGGTGGGTGGCACCCTATTCTCAGGAAATCATGAAACTACACTGAAATGCACCATATAACATATCCCATTTCATATCCTATTAAACACCATAGGAAATGACATTTTCTACAGTAAGACAAGCAGATGGTAGAAGGAGAGAGCAAAATAAAGCTCTTTGAAAACTGAGAATGAAAATGCCACTGCTAACATCTTGGGTCCCTCTGACGTGTTCATATATCAAGTTATAGCCTCCAAGAAACACCATAGGAAATGACATTTTCTACAGTAAGACAAGCAGATGGTAGAAGGAGAGAGCAAAATAAAGCTCTTTGAAAACTGAGAATGAAAATGCCACTGCTAACATCTTGGGTCCCTCTGACGTGTTCATATATCAAGTTATAGCCTCCAAGACAGCCGCTTTCTTTATTATATGCGTGTTTTGCCGCATAAAATAGTTCCACGGGGCTTCTGAAGGAAGACTCATGTGGTGCTGGAGATGTGTGTTTGTGTGAGTTTGTGAGTGGGGCCAGGACAGGGAACAGTGGGGGCCATTCAAAACCCGGAGACAGGCAGCCCTGACTAGGATGCTCGGCCAGCCGGGCCGTGATTCATCCGCCTCTCGGGCCCAAGGACATCAAGTCCTCTGTTTTGCTCTTAGTTCACATTTATCCTCTAAACCAATGAGTCATACATTGGAAATATGTATGAAATAAGCAAGAAGAAGAATATGTCACTGAGTTATTTCTGGTTGTTCAATATACACATCTTAGGACATCATGTGTTTGAAAGGCAAATTTTTAAATATGAGAGGTCTATACAAAACAGATAGAATTGGTTCTGTAAAGAAAACAGCAAAGTCAGATGCAAGAAGAAATGGAGCCCGGTAAAACAACTGTTTGGGTGAGGAGAATAAAAGGATGTTCTCAAAAGGATAATTTTCTTCAGAGGAAATGGCACAAATTCTTGGTCATTCAAATTAACAGAGAACTATTCCTGCCAAAGTTTAGTGCTGGGAAACAAGTGACATCTGGTCCGTTGCAAAGCTGTCCCACCTCTCCATGGCAAATATGAGCATGATACCTTAATGCAAACAGAATTGTTCTTTGAACACCTTCCCAGCCAAACCTAACTGCCTGAGAAATCAGAGGATTGAATAGTTGAGTGTTATCATGAGAAAATAGAAACCTGAAAACATCCATGTGTAATGCGTGGCCTGACAGTTGCCCGTGTAGGACCTTTTCATTAATCCATTGGCTCAACAGATACCTGTTGAGCACCTGCCATGTGCCTGGTTATAAGTATCCTAGGCCCTGAGGACACAGGCATGCACAGGCTGACACTGCCCATGTCCTCATGGACCTTCAGTTTTATGGATCAATCAGGTGTTTAGCAAGTAATAATAGAGGTAATATTCATGACAATTAGTGGTATGAAGAGCAGTAGAGGTGAGTGACTGGTTTGTCTGGGTACAGGGGGCAAACGTGTGATGGAGACAGGAAGATTTGACATTGAGCTGAGACCTAAGAACTCGAAGGATGAGATGTTGGCAAGAACATTGCAAGCAAAGGGAATATCACCGCCCAGCCCTGAGGCTGGAAAGAGAGCAGGGTTTCTGAGAAACTGATGGTAAAGAGCTTAACTAGAGCACAAGGACAGAGAGAGACAAAGAGAGCCAGGAGAGGACAGAGATCACACAGGGAGAACCTTCTAGGCCATGCTGAGAACTGTGAACTTTCTCCAAAGAAAATTACAAGTCACTGGACACAGGGGAGTGACATGATCAGATGTGCAGTATTAAAGATAATTAGCTTGTATGGCAACAGTTTGGTGAGGAGAAAGGGAGGGAAAAGAGAAAATGGTCAGAAGTCATTCAAGTATGCCAGCCAACATCTTGATTCAAGATGATGGTCATGGCGAAGAGGAAGTAGAAAAGATTATGATGAATTGAGAAGGTGTTATCAGTAAGACAGTGATTGTTCTCATGCCTGCATCAGACAGAGTTGTATGCAAGGAGAGGAGGGAGAAGAGGAGGGAGAGATGGTATCTGTGAGGCCCCATCTGTGAACTGTGAGAAGACTTCCTCCCTTGTCACATATGAACATAGACACTTGAACTAGTTTTCCTAATCTTCTTATTCCCTTTCCGCCACTATTTTATATAAAGTTGTTAACTTCACAACAGAACCTGCAGTGGAAAGAATCTCTGGTCGGGGGAGGAAGGGTTGTTACCCAGAGAGCATGCCCTGGGCTGGGAGCAATAACTGGGAAGGTCTGAGTTATTTCCCTTTTGGAAAGCAGTGGGTGCATCTTCAGTTTTACGTGGAATGATTTTATTATGTTACAGGGAAGCAATTTTCCCCTTTTAGAAGTGTAAGGGTAGAAGAAAGTGCATACTGATTTGTAACTGTCAAGGGGAAAATACCACTGCAGACGTTTGTCGCTTGTCTGGCTGCCCAGCATCTGACCGTTCATACACTTAGGGAATGTCACATCTTACAAATCTTGATGGAAAGCATATCCTAGTACAGAAGCAGAAGGTGCCAGATACTCACCAACCCAGATTTTCTGGCATGGACACATTTCCTGAGCCAATCAGAGGTACTTGCCATGTATTATAAATCAGAGATTAACTAGGAACAGAAGGGACAGCTGAGAATGTGCTCAGATGCTGGTGGTGGTGGCAGCATCAGTAACTGCTTTTCAGGGCTGCAGAACTAGAGAATCACCCGGAGCAGGGTAGGTGGGATGCACGTCAAGGTATGCTTCTCAGCAGTAGGGGCAGTTGTGTTTTCTCCAGGCCAGTTATGTAATGTTTGAGGTGTGGTTCCTGCATTGATTCCAAACCCCTTTGTTCTGCTTTCCCAGTGATTCTGTGAGACTCTCAATATCCTTTCAATTAATTTCTTTCCTTAATTTATAACTGGCCTTTGAATCAAAACCCTTTGGTAATACAGTAATAGTTAACACTCTGCTCATTGGACAGTGTAACAAACTGAAGAATATTCCCCAAAACTGTTTTATCACTTGCTTAAATTTATAGAAACATATCCTTTCTCCCAAAATACAGATGTGCTATTACCATGTTCGGGAAGATGATGGGTGGAGATTTGACTTTACACTCCGAGGCAATGAGCATAGCTCTTTCAGCTGGCACCTCCTTGATTCTCATGCCAACAGGCACGCTCTCACTGACTATGCTGACATAGAGACTGGCCCCCTGCACCACCTGCCAGAACCCGAAGGCACATGACCTCAGAAAGGATGCCAGCCAAAGTCAACACAGGCACAGCAATGAAGAGAGAAGATTTAATGTTACCACAAGCCCAAGTGGAGAAGACCCAAAGTACATAATTCCAGGCTCCAATTCCCACACATTCCTCCAGTGAACCTCTTTTGGTATAACAAAAAGATCCACCAGGGAGCTGGATATGCCCCTCCACTAGGAGTCTAGCCTAGCCTGATAATCCTGCAAGCAGTATCACCAAGGGGTCAGCATCCGAGGGACCCCTCCAACGTGACATCACGTTAGCAGCAGGACCCCCTTCTCAGCCGCACAACCTCTGAGAGGATGTGGCAATGGTCTTTGACAAAGCTCTGGCCCTACATTTAAAAAAGCAGCCTGTTTTTTCTTTGCAGTCAAATCTATTTCATTCTGCCCTGAACTAGAAAGCCCCCGATATTCCATTAGTTTCAGCTCCATTGCCTACTCAGTGTCAGAGGCATTTGAGGACTGCACACTGATGTCACAGTTAATGGCACTGATATGGCTGGGGCCCCAGACAGCTGCAAGAATGAATCGAGAATGAAGACTGCTGGCTAAGTGCTGGGAGAAGCCTGTGCAGGAACAGAGGCCCTGACTTTTAATTCTATATGGGTCACTCATCCTAGGTGATTTCTGCTTCTCCTCCAGATCTGTGGCTTCAGCTATTATCTGGCAATAACCAACCAAATGTGCATTTCCAGCATGGATTTCTCCCTTACACTCCAGAATCATATACCCGCTTGCTTATTTGACATGTCCACTTCGCTACCTAACAGGTAGGTCAAACTTAAAATCCACAAAAACTTGATTACCCCAACACCTTCCCCCAACCTGTGTATCCCCTGGTCACTCCATTTCAGTTTCTGGCAGCTCCATTCCACCAGTTGCTCAGTGCACAAATTTACACTTCTTGTCTTCTTTCTTATTCTCCAACTTTACATCCAAATCATCAAGAAGTTTTGTCAACTCTAGCATTAAAATATACACAGGATTTTATCAGTGTTCATCACCCCCTCCATCCCAACCGTAGTACAAACTGTCAATCACTTCTCATAGGACCTCTTACCTGGTCTCTCGGATTCAATTTCCACATCCCTGCCCCAGCCTTTGTTAAAGTCATCGAGTCTTCCCTTAACAAAGCTAAGCTTTAAGACATAGGTTCTTGCTGATCCAATCTGTCTTGTGGTTTTGCATCGCACTCAGAGTAAAAGCAGAAGTTTTTATCCTGATTCACAAAGCCTTCCTTGCCACGGGACTCTCTTTCCTCACTCCATACCACACCCTGCCCGTCTCTCTCTTTCCTCTCCAGATACTCCAGCCTCCTGGCTTTTCCATACCAGGCACCCTTCTGCTTGAGTTTCTTTGTGCATTGCTGCTTCACCTTCCTGAAATGTCCATTTCCAAACTGTAACCTGTAATTTCCCTCCCTTCTTTTCAGAACCTTCCCTGACCTATACATAAAAATGCCTCTTCTGTGAGTAATGTCGTGCCCTCTCATACTTTATTTTCCTTTATTCCTGTGTTTTTGCGTATGTGTTTTTGTCTTGTTGCCTCCCACCAGGTCATACTTCATGTAAACAAAGGCTTCTTATATCATTTACTGCACATCTCAGCACTTAGGATAACGTCCATCCATCCATAATAAACCCATACTCCAGATCTGTTGAATAAATAAATGAAAGAATGGAGAAGATCTACAAAGGGATTACTGAAAGAACCTTGGCATTTGAGGATTTAGGAAACAATAAGGGAAGCTTATGCAGAAGACTGAGTAGTCTCCAAAGAGGGGGCTAATAAACCAGAAGAGCTGGTGTCACTGAAACCATGGGAAGTGACTGTTTCTAGCTGGAGGAAGTGGTTAACGCTGTAAACTGCTACAGAGGAGTGGCCAGTGAAGTGTGAGAGAAACAGAGGGAGAGAGTGGTAAATAATCAGTCAGGCAAGGAAAGGAGATGATGACCAACAGTGTTGAACATTATTTGCAAACCAAGTTAGATTATATAGTCATTGGGTTTGCAAAACAAAGAACTCTGTAACTTTATTAAGAGCAGTAAGTTTTAGTGGAATGGTAAAAATGAGAATCTGACAGCAACGGGCAGACTAAGCTTCAAGGAAAGAGAGAAAGGAAATAATCAGTACCAAAAAACAATTGTGTAGAGAAAATTTTCTGTAAAAAGAAAAAGAAATGAAGGACTTGCAGTCGAGTATACAGTTCCTTAGGGCATTTTTTTTTCTCCCCATCTTCCAGTTTCTAAGGCACGGGTACGCAGTTCAGGGTTGCCCAATTTGATATTTGCACTGAGGCTATCAATATGGAGTAAATACTGGGACAGGCAAGTTAGCTGTGGCGTTCGACAACAGCACGGTGTAGGGGCTGGAGTGTCAGTGGTGCCAGCGATGAGAATGATACTGTTTTCAAGGGGGCCAGTGCCAGTGGTGACATCCTGAACAGATCGTTCTGACACATCGCCTTGGCTGTGGCTCCAGCTGACTAGACTCCGTTAGTTCCCACACATTTTCTCAATCTTGTTCTCCAATTATCCTGTTGATTCTGTATGTTTTCCCAAGCCTGATGGAAATATTCTCTTCTGTTTGAGCTAGCCAAGCTCATTTTCTATTGCTTGCAATGAAAATCCTTACTGACAGAGTAGTTCAGAGGTTGTTGCAATTATTTAGGATAAAAGAAGATAGTAGCCTTACTTAAAGCAAGGATATTATGATGAAAAGGAAGGGAGAGGTGGGAAATAAGAGTTAAAATTCATGGGAACGTATTGGGCATTGGCATAAAGAGAAGAAAGCATCACGGAAGATGGTTTGTAGGCTGGGTAAATGAGGTGTTGTCAGTACTTCCAAACACAAAGAATCAAAAACTAATAATAATAGTAAAGGTGTTGGGCAGATGGGGAAGGGAGTGGATTTGTGGTGGTGAGAGTAATTACCATTTCACAGAAGTTGAGTTTGAGACTAAGATGATGTTATGGGAGATGTAGAGTAGACAGATGGATGGAAGTATGAATCTGTGGGAAAATGTCATGGATAAAGATAGAAAATTGAAGTCATCAGGAACTGAAATCATGAGAGGAAATGAGATCACTCTGGAAGAGTTCACAGCATAAGAACTTGGGTTGAGGATGGACAGCTGGAGAATACCATACTTTAAGAGATGAGCTTAGGAAGAGAATCCGAAAAAATTAATCACATCATTCTGTACCACTGCTCCTTTCTTGATTAGATGGTATGACTAATTACTCTTTCTAGTTTCCTTGGACATGAAGAGTCCTTGAAAGCATTTTCTTGTCTTTGGCAGCTCTTTCTCAATGAGCAATGATTTCAAGTAATTATTACCTGCCTCAAATTTTAACCCAAGATCAGGACCCGACATTCTTTGTTAACAGCCTGTGCCTGCAAGATTTGAAGAATAAGCCCCTTTACATTTTAGACAATTCTTTCAGAGGGCAAATCTCTAAAAATAATACAGTGAAGGAACTAGCTATCTGACACTAACACTGCCACATAGATCTCTTACGTATATAAGGATTCTCCATTTCCCCCCAGAACCACCCTAAATGTATGGGTTCTAAAGAAGCAGTGCCCTATTCCCACCATCCATTTAGAATCTACTTGACCAGTAAGGGTCTCTACCAACTCCTACCTCCCCTTTTAACCTTATTCTGAATTTTTGCTGCCTTATGTCAAATCAATACCACTGGTTAAAGATGCAGACTCTGTGGACATAAAAATTCACCTACAGTTATGAAGCCACCTTTCTATCATCTTCATGGTTTCCAATGGCTTCCTAGGATTTAACTGTTGCTGTAACACAGCCAGCTTTAATTGATGTAAAAGAGGTGGTAAGAAGGAAAATGAATCTATGTTTCCCTTGTCTCGGGGGTGGAGGGACGATGGAGAGGGGATGATGTGGTTCTATAGAGCTGTGATGGTTAATATTATGTGTTAGAATGACTGAGCTAAGAAACACCCAGGTAGCTGGTGAAACATTATTTCTGGGTCTATCTGTGAAGGTGTTTCCAGAAGAGATTAACATTTGAGTCAGCAAATGTGCTTTCTGCTTGAGCTGGGATACCCAGCTTCTCCTGCTGTGGCACACCAGTGTTCCTGGTCCTCGGGCATTCAGGCTCATGTTGTGACATTTACCGTGGCTCCCTTGATTCTCAGGCCTTCAAGTTGGGATGGAAACTGCACCACTGGCTTTCCTAGGCCTCCAGTTAGCAGGTGACAGACTGTGTGACCTCACCTCTGTATTTGGTTCATTGACATGTGAGCCAATCCTTCATAATAAGTATGTATTTCAATATATTTATACATATCCTGTTGGTTCTGTTTTCCTAGAGAATCCTGACTAATGCAAGGCCCAAGAGAAGACAGGGAATTCTTAACCAAAGCAACAGAGGAAACCAAGACAGAAAATGATAAGACAAGCATAAATTCATGGACTATTCTGAGATTCAGATAATGCAAACACACGTAAGACTATCAAGTTCAGAGTATTCAGAGATTTAAACAAAGGTTTATGTCACAGAGGCAAGAGTTTAGTCAGAAGCAGGAAGATTGGGAAGTAAAGGAGTCCTGGGGATTGTGAGAAAGCTAGGAAAATGTTTATGATTATATAAAGATGTATAGTAAGGCTTGATTAACTTTAAAGTCAAGGGAATGGGAAATAGTTTCAGTGAAACTCTGGAAAACATAGTCAGAAGAAGACAAAGCAAAAATGATTGAACAGAAGCTGTTTGAAAGTTATATTCAAAATTAAGTAATAAGACAGAGGCTTTAAGAAGGCCAAGAAAGAAAAGAAGACATTTTTATCAGCTGTAATCAATGGAAAGAGACTAAGTTAAGAACTGAAATAAATCCACTGATTTAACTATTTGCAGGCCATGTCCTTGTCAATGGCTTTCTGTAGACTGATGAGGATGGAAAGCAGAAATCAGTTAGTTGTCAAATAAATGACAGAAGAGGACCTGCAGAGATTAAGCAAACACTACATTTTCAAACTCAAGTGTAGTTGTAAAGAGAAAAATAATAACAGGATAGCTAGAGGAAGATAGGCACTAAGGGTGGTTTGTTTTGCTTTCAGAAAGATATTTGAGCATTGAATATGTTTTTCTGTTATGTGACAAACATGAAATCTAGATTGAACTGCTTAAACAACAGGGAATTTATTGATTCTTTAAAGTAAAATGATCCAGAGTAGATCAGCTTTAGGAATGGTTTGGTAAGAGTTTCTGCTTCTCTAGTAAGAACTGATCACTGGATTCAGCAGTGGGGTCAGCTTCTTTGGGATCTCTGGTTTCCCCAGTTAGAGACTGTTGGTGAGATGAAGGAAAAGGAGATGATGGGTGCTGGGAGAAAACCAGAAGGTGGTTCCCGTATAGTCTACATCTTTGGTATAAACATACCTTTCATCTCAGATACACACTTTCAGAAATGCCTGTGCCATGTGAAATATACTTCCTCCCTTCCCAAATGGAGCAAACTCAAAATCCCTTCCAGTTACTGCATCTAGGACAAGCCCAGGGTCTCTGTGTCAGGTGCAGTCTTCTCCAAGAAGAATGGTTCAGGTACCTGTAGCTATGTGAGAAGTTGTCCACCACACAACATCTAGCATTTATTAGTGGAGGGAGAACAGGATCATCACAGTAAAACTTCCCACTTGGAGAAAAGGATAACTGAAGTCAACAGTGGGTGCTCTCAGTCATGCCTAAATGGAACAGTTCCTAGGGGAGCTTTCTGGAGAAGCTGCATTGTCCACTCCCTCCTGCCCGTTACAGCATCAGAAATGAGTGGATGGTACTGCTGCCTTGTCTGGAAACTGACTACTTTTAGCAGCCAACTTTCTGCTAATGTGAATTTGGGGTCTAGGAAAAGATCAAAGGGTTGAGCAGATAGGCTATTTTAGCTAGGCTTGGTTGAGTTTTATTAGCAATACTGCTGTCATAGGAAATAAAGATTCTTATCTATTTGTTTCCAGCCCATATAAAGGGCAAGCAGTTAAAGCCATAGATATTATCTGCTAAGAGTTGTTAAACCCAGACCTGGGCCTAAAATATCTGTTTCCTAGTAGCCCAGTTTTGGTTTCCCTCAACTCCTAGACCTCAGTAAATAGTTTCCACCCCAAATCATCTGACTGACAAGACAAATATAATATGCTTCTTGCCCCCTGCCTGCATCCCAGGTGTTTCCCCTAAACAGGAGTGATGTTTTATCTTTCGACAGGCAGAGAATTTGTAATTGAGGAAGTGGGAATAAGATTGGGAAATCAGGCCCCTCCTGTACCTTAAATTTATCTCTCTCTCTCTGCTTCTGCTTATATTAACCTCCACTTAGGGCCAGGAATATGGTCTTCCAACCCTACAAGAAACCAGATAATCCAAGTCATTTTTTGGTAACAGTCTGCAGGCAGAAGACATTCCTTAACAAAACATATTTTTTCTCCTTCCAACTTTCAGGAGACCTAATTTCAAATGAAGCATATCTCTTTATCACAAGACATTACTGAACATTAAAAGAAGACTTCAACACATTTAAGCATTCTGACCTTTCTTACATGATCCTTATCCAAGGGTTCAATAGGCCATAGTTTAAAAAATTCTTTTGTAACTACAAATTAGGAAGGCCAACTTCACAGGGCAAGACAGAACAATTCTCTACCTACTCTTTTCTTGGTTCCACCAGTTCCACAATTTCACTCACAACATCCTATTTTCTTTCGCTGAAGTCGTTATCAGTGTAGCTCAGGAAGACTCATTGTGCTGCAACAATAAATGTGGCTGGTCAGTCAGTAGTTTGGCTTCGGTTTGTTTATCTCATGCATTTGAACAAGTCCAGAGACAGTAGAGTCTTCAGTTAATTTTTTATCAAGGCTCCGTTTCTCCGGCTGTCTCTCAGGTCTGCTAATATTTGAGCAGGAAATTCATCCCCAGGCTGGCTTCTCTTAGAGTAATAAGGTTATGCCGACTTCACATCTGCAAACCACAGAAACCTTGAATTCCCACAGTATTCTCTAGAATTTGATTGGATTTGTGATTGACACATATCTGCTACTGAACTAATCTACAGGTCCAGGCAGGTCACATGAGCTGAGTGATCAAGTCTTAGCAAGATTCTTCAGAACTGAATTCATCCACTCAAGAGCCATATGGATTCTCAAAACTAGAAACCAGCAGCTGTGGAAGTTGCAGTAAAACCATAAATTTGAGAAACATTTAATTAATGCCACTATAATATTAAGAAGAGAAATTGAAGACATAGTAAAGTAGGAATTTTTCAAAGGAGGAAGATCCTTTGAAGAGATGAAAGTAAAGTGGGAAGGGATCATGTTCAAGTAGGACAAAAATATGTCATATTGCCATATATTAATTACTTAATAATCCAAATTGTATTTTACAATAGTCATCACCACTGCCTGCATTTCCAAAGTCAACCTGTCTAACCTGGAAACAGACTACTCTTGGTTTTATTTCCAGTGAAATTTTTGTTGAGATAATTATAGATTCACATGCAGTTGTAAAAAAAATAGTAACAGAGAAATGCAGTATATACTTCACCCAGTTTGCCCACCAGTGACATTAAAAAAGAAAAAAAAGACACAGGAGATTATAGTAGCCAGGATATTTTTTTTTTCAGATTTACATTGATACAATGCACCACCTCTCTTGGATTTTGAAACAAATTTGAAGACAGTGTAATTGATTCATAAAAGGGGAAAAAGCAGTTCAGCTGAGCAAGTTTTTGTCTGAAAACTTATATTGCTTCTGAGGAAAAACAGTTATCTTCAATAATGAGATGTATGGGAAAAACTGGGGAGGAAGGTGGTCATGGTGAATCATACTGAAAATACCAGCATTTTTCGAGAAAACTTTGCATACATTGTAGTCCATATTAAGACGCTAGTGATCTTCTATTTGTCATTAGCTGTTATATGGTAAGAGCTGTTGTTTTAACATTGTTCTGCTTTTCTAGTAAAAAGCTTGAGAAGATGTGATAAAAGTAGTTATAAAACATTTCAGAGCAGACTGGTTTTAAATCAAGGTGATTAAAACTAATTATTTCTAAGTTTCTATTATTTATAGTTAATTAGTTACTTTGCCTGCTTAAAATTTCTTTAACCATGCATTCCAAATTCATTAAAAATAGCATTGTATTTTAGTATCAAAATAAACACAAAGCATGAGAAACAAAAACTCTACCATGAATGAGGTTTGATAAAACTATCTTTTTTGTTAATGTGACAAGTGACAATGGACACTTTTCATCCGATGCAGTGCAGAAGAGCAGCTGATAGTGAGACTCATGTCAAGTTGGGGTTGGGTTTGGTTGCAAATAAAGGAAAACTCAACCACGACCTAAGGAGGGGTTGAATGTCTCGGATAACAAGAATCCTTCTGCTATGGAAGTCAGGATGGTGTTAGCTTTCTGCCATTTTTTAACACACAACTCATCCTTACAGTGACAAGACAGGTGCTAAATATCTGATATTGGAAACAAGGAAAAGGAAGAGTTTGAGGGGAAGGACTGCATGGCTCTGCCTTTTTGTTTGGCTGGGAAAGGAGAGAAAGTGACCTTCAGAATTTCCTCCCCCATCTCCTTGCCCAGACACGTCATCATTCTCGCTTGCAGGAGGTGGGGTCTTTGGTTTATTTTTTCCGCTAGATTTTATAGGAAAAGAAGTCAAGGGATAAAGAGTTTGGGATGGGTATCGAGAGTCAACTTATTTGCACAACTAGAATGAAGATAAATAAGAATTCCTCACTGCTTCCAAGATATAAGGAAAGAGGAGCACAGTGAAATGGTAAGATGCTCCTCAGGAAAAACACATTCCCCTCAAGGATTCACAGGCTTACTTAGGAGCCATCATTTTAACATACCAGTGATATCAAGTGAGATGAGAATTTTTACTGCAGAAGTTACTTGAGAAGTTACCAGTATTAATATGCATCTGCCCAAATATTGATATATATGTATTGTGTGTGTGTGTGTGTGTGTGTGTGTGTGTGTGTATGTGTGTGCACAGAAGGAAGAGAGGGAAGAAAGAAGAAGGGGGCAGAAAAAAGAAGAGAAAGAGAAGGAAAGAAGGGGAAGGAAGAGGAGGAGAAGCAGTTGTCACACAGAAGTGGCAAACTCTAACGCTGCTCAGTGACAAGAGAACCTGAAACTGTATTTCAAATACTTCCAGGAGTATTAGGAAAAAGCATGAAACTGGGATATGCCTTACAAGTTTATCTGGAGATCATAAAAGAATTAATGAATTATGGCTTTACATAATCACATTGGCTCTGACATACAGCAGATTTGGTCAAACATTTGTTGGTTAAGTTCTTAATTTATTAAGTAAATTCACTGATTTTTTTTTTAAGACAGGTTCTCACAACTTTTGTAGAAATTTTCAGATAAATACAGCAGAATACTGATGGGCGTGGGCAGCTAGGCATATATCAGCAAGCAATGTACTACTTAGTTTGAAAGGTGTCCCTTTTTCAAATATTAAATTTTTTATATTTAGATTGTATGAATCTAATGCCAGGACAAAATTAACCCAAGTGGAAATAAATTGCATTAAAATATAAGATTTCTGAAATTCATTTCTGCTTTTGGAAAAACACTGAAAATATTCCTGTCACTCTAAAAATATAATTTTACAAGAGGGATTGTTCCAATTTTTCTTAGGTCCCAGTATTTCAAAGGCTTTAGATTTTATCTTGAATATTGGTATTTCTATAATGCTAACACTTTTTTAAATATAGATATACATGCGATAGTGGGTTAGAGCACATTAACAATGAGGTTTCATATGTGTATTTTGGAGATTCATTACTTGCAGCAAGAGAATTATAGAAGAAAACAGTTACAGATAGAATTAATTGGTTTTTTTAAACTCCTCTATCATATAAAGGGAGGAATTGATTTGGGGTATTACCTGAATTATTCTAGATATTCCAAAAGCAAAAATTCCCTTGAAGGCAGAAGAGACAGACATGCATACATAATATGTAAATACATGTATACATACATACATACATTAAATGTGTTCGATGGTAATAGAAACTATGGGGAAGAATAATAGAAAATAAATAAAGCTGGGTAGTCATGGAGATTCTGTAAGTGGGTGGAAATATTAGTGTTGACAGAAAAAAAAGGTGCAAAGGTGTAGTTCAAGTAGAGGCTTAAGGAGATGATGTAACCAGCCATGAAGTTTTCCAAAGGAGAGCATTCCTGGCAGAGGGCATGCTGGGAATGCCCAAGATGCAGCTAGATTGGCAGGCTCAACAACCAGGGAAGAGGCCAGTGGGGCCAGAGCTGAATGAAGAGAGGCAGAGTAGTAGGAGGTGAACCCAGAGAGGTAAACGAGCACCAGGAGATACAGGGCCTTGTGACCCATCATTGAAACGTGAACTTTTAATTGTAAATTTGGTCATAATAAGCTCTTCAAATGAAATGAAGAATATATTAAAGAAGAGTTAATATTTCGGTGGTAATACAGATATTAAAAATGTGTGTGAATATTTCCTAATAACATTGGAAAACTGTGATAGAACGTTAAGTGAAGGAAGCTGCATACAACATTGTAAAAGTAGTGTTCAAATATCTTTAAAAAGGCTAGAGAAAATCATAGAAGGAAATGTATTAAATGTAAAATAGCAAGTAGCAAGATTATGGATTTTATCTTTTCATTAGTTTATTTTTCCCTCCAACTTTAACAGGCACACGGAACTTTCAAAACCACAAAATAATTACAGTTAACATTTTTAAATTATATGAATATAAACAAGGAGTGAGACCTTGAGATAACCAATCTACACAATCATGTCTCAAGGAAAGCTATAGCTATGGAACTCCTGGTTTTGACAGGTCTGGCCTCATGCTTCTTGTATCCTATGAGTTGGCATACTGTTCTTAGTGACTATCTATGCTACTGCTTTGAGTATGTGGAGAAATAGCTGAGAAAAATTTTGGAACCAAGTTTGTGGCAAATACTAACTATTTAGTGCAGGAGGCTAGCACAGCCTCAATTCTAAGGCTGGATCTGGGATAACTTTCCACATACTTTTGGAAAACGCAAGATTCCTGGCATAGAGCTGCTTATTTTTCTAAATCCAGTGAATTTGCTATGAGAGACAGTATAAAATTTGTCATAAACCCAAGGAGGAGGCTTTAAATGAGATCTTTACCTACTGATTTGCTAGATACTCTTGTATAATGTATCGAACTTTTCAGTGCTTCTTCAACTCTGCAATGAGAAGGTAAGAAAATGGGCACCAAGAGAGGGGAAAGCATTAAGCAATACACACACAGACACTGCTCAAATCCAGATTATATTCCTCTCCCCTCACATTCCGTTTGTTAATAGATCTCATTAGCAACCTTATCAAAGGATAGGAAGGAGTGGGGTTGAAGAAAAGTAAAGCATTTTTTCAAACAAAATAAGGTTTGAAGGAGGCTAAGGAGGAAAAGAAATCATAAACCTAGTATATGAAGGCATAGGTTTATATGATATTATGTCATCAGCATGTACATTATGATAAACATAATGATCTATGGGTGTCTTGGATGAAAGAAGAGCAGAAATAGCCAGGGACACAGCATGATGGCAGTTCCCCAATTCTTACTGTCTTTCCAGGGGAATACCCATACACAAATAATCTGTCATAAAGTCATATTTCACTTTGTGTGAATCAGTGTAACTTTAAAGTTTGTTGATCTCCTTCCATTTTCCTGGCAGCCACACATTTAGAGCTACAGTATATGCAAAATTCTAGACCATAAAGAATCCAAATAGAGGGATCCCTCTTCTAAAGTAGACAAAGCTAGTATTGGCTTACAGAACTGAAGGAAATAAATGAGTTCTTAACATACTATCAGTAAGTCTAGTCATCCAACTTGCAAGGTAATAAGTGAACTTTCACAAACCCAGAAAACAGCATCTTGATATGAATGAGTTCTTAACATACTATCAGTAAGTCTAGTCATCCAACTTGCAAGGTAATAAGTGAACTTTCACAAACCCAGAAAACAGCATCTTGATATGTCTCAGTAAAGCAGAAGTGCTTCCTTCTTTATGCAACAGTGAATGAACTAGCACTCAGTAGCTGAAAATCATATACATACATACACACATATATGTATGCACTATTTTCCCAGCCATCAGCATAGCCAAAATACCAGTAACTTCTCTGGTATTTGAATGAAAATTGAATGATGCCCAATCATAAACCAAGTTGTCACACAAAATTCTTTTCCAACTCTGAAGATGGAAAGACAGATGGGATGGATGGATGAACGGATGTATAGATACATACGTATATATACACATACATTCATAGAGATGTTATAGCTATTTCAATTATAGCAAACTAGTAACCTTGAATCTTTTGTGTACAGTGCTATATTCTCATCAAAGGCTCAACTGAGAAAGAAACCACTTCCAAGCTCCCTCAGATTGTTGGCAGTTTGTGGCTAGAATACTCATGGAGGCTTGCCTCCTCAAAGCTGGTAACAGAGAGAAAGGAACTACAGTGACAGGTGATATGTTCCTGCCACTATGTTCAAGTCACCCTGTACATCTCATCACCTTTGATGCTTTCCAGTGGTTAAAAGCGAATTCAGGTGTTGTCCACACTGAAGTATAGAGGATTAAACAAGGACATGAATATCAGGAGGTGGAGATCACGGGGGGGGAGGTACCTTAAATTCTGTCACCACAGTCTGACCTGTGACCTCTAATGCTTCAAATCTCTCCCACATAAAAAAAACATATTCACCCCTTCCAAGGTGTTTAAGAATCTCATCCCATTATAAATTCAGTTCAATGCCTAAAATCTTATCATTTAAATCAGATCAAGGTACAGATAAGGTTTCTGGGTCTAATCCTTTAAGTAAATCTTTCATGGCACAATTTGTCTCCATTTTTTGAACCTATGAAACTAAAAAGACAAGTTAACTGCCCTCAACATACCCAAAATTCCAAGGTATGATAGGCATAAGATAGCAAGGATAGATATTCATGGGGGAAAATGAAAGGAAAAAGGAGTCACTAACCCATAGCAGTTCTGAAATCCAGTTAGACAAATGTTGGGAGTCTTTACTATGTTTCAAGGCCTAGAAATAACTCTAGTATGAAGTACCTCTTGCTTTCTATTTTCTATATAATGTAACAAAACTCTACCCTCTGGACTCCTGGTTCCT